GCGAAAGCGAAAGTTCTAAGCAATTGGCTTGGCTCGCCACAGCCAAAAATAACAAATTTTAAACCAACCATAGCCAAAAAAGATAGAAAGAAACTCACTACGGACCTCTTGCATGGCGTCTCAAGATTCTCATATGTTGATGATGCTCGTGAGCTTCTTTTTATCCACTCTTTTAGTCACTACTGTCCATTCTAAACCTCAGTGTCGGAATTTCGAGTCGATCATCAGTTTCGGTGATTCCCTTGCCGACACCGGAAACTTGATCGGTCTTTCTACTCCTTACGATCTTCCTGAATCCGCGTTTCCGCCGTACGGAGAAACTTTCTTCCACCATCCCTCCGGCCGTTTCTCCAACGGTCGCCTCGTCATTGACTTCATCGGTACGTATCTTTTCTATGTATAACTCGAGATGTGAATCTTTTACTATTTTTAGACAATTTAATTAACTTCTTACAAACCCTTTAGTGTAATTTAATCTCTGAGAAGAATCCAAAAATAAACAATTCTGATAGATGTGTTTGAATGAGTGTTTGAATCTGTGAGAAGAAACCAAAAGAGCTATTAATTATCTTCGTCTCTTTCTTTCCTCTGTTTTCTTGTCATTGGCTCAACTTTTTTTCGATTATAAAAAAAATAATTCCTGAATACATCAGACAGACAAAACAAACATTTTCTAAGTGTTCTTTCTTCGTTTACACAGCTGAGTTCTTAGGATTACCACATGTGCCTCCTTTTTATGGATCTCACAATGTAAACTTTGAGAAAGGAGTTAATTTCGCGGTGGGAGGAGCAACGGCACTGAACTGTTCTTTTCTTCTTGAGAAGAGAGGGATTCATTGTCCTCATAGAAACATCAGTTTAGGAGTTCAACTTCAGAGCTTCAAGGAGACTTTACCAAATCTATGTGCCTCGCCATCAAGTAATGAATATTAAAATTTGAAGTGCATTTGTTGGAGCTCACTTGTAATTGTTTTGCTTTTTAGATTGTAGAGATATGATTGGAAATGCTTTGATTCTCATGGGAGAGATTGGAGGGAATGATTATAATTACCCATTCTTTGATCGCAAAAACATTGAGGAGGTCAAAGATCTTGTTCCGCTAGTGATCACTACTATTTCTTCAGCAATCACGGTATACATTTTTTAATCCGATTCTTGATAATGCCGAGTGAAAATGTATCTGCACTGATTAGTTTGTCGAAAACTGTACATGTTAATGTTGAATCCAGGAGTTGGTCGAAATAGGAGGAAGAACATTCCTAGTTCCTGGAGATTTCCCGCTGGGATGCTCTGTAGCCTATTTGACATTATACCAAACATCAAACAAGGACGAATACGATCCTGTGACAGGATGTTTGAAATGGCTAAACGAGTTTTCGGAATACTACAACAGCCAGCTTCAAGCAGAACTCAACAGACTAAGGAAGCTTTACCCTCCTGTGACCATAATATACGGTGATTACTACAACGCTTTGTTGCGGCTTTTCGAAGAACCATTTAAATTCGGTTAGCCTTCTTGATCCCTCAATGAATCTACACACAATCAAGTAATTAATTCAATTCACTAACCAAGTTAGTTATACTACCAGGACTCATGAACAGACCCTTGTCCGCTTGTTGCGGTTTAGGTGGACCGTACAACTTCAACTTTAGTACAATATGTGGGACTGTAGGAATTGAATGTTGCAGTGACCCTTCAAAGTATGTGAATTGGGACGGCATTCATCTGACGGAGGCTGCATACAGATGGATATCTGAAGGATTACTCGAGGGACCGTATGCGATTCCTCGTTTCGATTGGTCTTGCATAAGCTCCAAGGTTAAGAACAACGAGTCATTAGACGTACACAATATTCTTTGATGATACACATACATGTTCGTCTGTACTTGTGCTGGATTATGTATTGTATATTGTATTAGAATGACAAGTCTTTCTTATATTTTACTTGACAAACTCTTGTCAAAGTGGATATACTAGACCAATACAAAAAAACTTTTAATGACATCTAACCGATTTCTTTTTTTGGGTCGAAATGTTAAATTTATTTCATCAAAAGGAAATATTGACAAGGAAAAACAATAGGAAAACCAAGTTTTGAAAGGAAACAGAAGGAGAGGACATATAAAACAGAGCAGAGCAGAATTTGGACTAGGTAGTGGTTCTCGCGGGCCACTGTGGAGGATGTTGTGAAGATCCAGGTTATAGGTTGTCCGGCGTGGCCATACAAAACAATCTGACACTTCTCCAATCGGCATAATACTAATGGTGGAATTAGATCGTGAAGTGCCTCAGTTCTCCAAGCATTATTTGGGCCAATCAATAGAAAACTACCATTTTCCAGACATACTTCTGTATTTTTACCATCTTTAACAGACTTTGACACACCGTGACTCAAAATT